AATATCTACTTTCCTTACTTTTCTCTTAAATGAGTTGAATGACTCGGAATTCTTAATGTCCCTTGGCAAATTAGCCCACACAACCGGCCCGATATATCTTAAACTATGCTTACCATTAGTGATAGTATTAAACCTAGGAATTGTAAAATCGTCTGAATTTCTAAGCCCATAGTTATGAACAGTATTTAAACTAAAAATATCCGATACATAGGTAGGACACAAATTGTTTTTAACTTTGTACAGTAGTATTGCAATATCCTGCAATCTCCTATTAAGCAGTGTCGTAAGCCTGGCTATAGAGAGGAGTTCGCTATAAGTACTATATTTATCTCTATAAATTGCTCTTAGTGCCTTCTCTTGCAGTCGTTCCACCTTTCTACTATCCGATTGTCTACAAAAGTGCCACACTAGGTGACAATATGTTAATTGCGGTAAAATGAACGATTTATAAATTCTTAATTTGCCTAAAGTGGGTAGTAAATTTCTTAGCCTCATAATAACTCCGACTTTTCTCGCTACTCTTTTAGATAAATTCTCTACATGACAATCAAACTTCAGATATTCATCAATTGTAACTYCTAATAATGTCATATCAGAATTAGCCTTAATGTTCTTATTTAGTGCTGTAATGTTCAAATTCTTGTTTTTGTGCTTCTGTCCAAAACTGACTGTCTGGAACTTGTCATTGTTACACTTGAGTAGATTATTTTCATACCAATTCATTATGTTCAGTCCATCATTTAATTCGTCAATATCCTCTCCACGTCTTCTATTCTATCAGCAGCATTATAGATTTGATGATCGTCTGCGTACATCGAYATTCTACTTTGTTCGATATTATACACGTCGTTTTCATATATATTCCACATCAGAAGTCCAAAATTGGATCTTTGGGGACAGCCTCTTACCACAGTTTTCCACTCGCTCATAATTTCACTGCCCATTCTAACTCTGTTCTTCCTTTCTGAGAGTAACAGTTCAATAGCATCATCMCCAAATCCATATCCCTTGAGCTTCGCTAACAGTAGTGGTGGGTTTAGAGAATCAAAAGCTTTAGATAGATCAGACGACAGCACTCCGATTACTCTTTTCTCATCTAGTGATTTTTTCCAATCTTCCTGGAGATTTATGAGCGCTGTCTCACAACTGTTTCTTTTGCGATATGCTGTTAAGTTCCTGTTCAAGTAAGGTTCAATATAATGCGATACTTGGCCTGCCAGTAACTGCTCAAATACTTTATCAATCGTGCTTAGGACTGTAATTGGCCTGTAATTCTTCAAATCCTTGTGATCATCCTTTTTAAAAACCGGGACCCAGATTCCTTTTTTCCAATCATCCGGCCAATAACGTTTTTCTATGCAACCATTAAAGATCCTTGTCAATGATGGTGACAGCTCATTACTTGCAATACTAAGTAGTCTTGGAGATATTTGATCGTGCCCAGCACTTTTATTTTGGTTTAAGTTCCTCAAGGATTTTTCTACTTCGCCGACGTCAAGTCTATGGAATTCAAATTTTGGGGCATTGACGATTTTCTTATTTGTTTGGATGTCATGCACACTTTTATGRCTTTCTAGTTATTTTTCCGTAGACAGCAATATACAGGGATCCCCGATGTCAGCGGCTACATTTGCAAAATGATTAACAAATTGGTTAGCAACTTGAGTCTGATTCGTTAATGGACGACCATCAATCTCCAAGTTGATACGTGTATCATCTATRCTTGATGACTTAGAGTCCAAGAAAGGTTTAAACACTGTATAAAACTCCCTAGGATTAGTCTTGGCCACTTCGCATGCGACCATATCTTGCATTCACAACATTCGCATTTTKATTTGACCTGACACTTTTGTTACACTCTTTACAAGGATGATTAATATTTCTCTTTGCTGTAGGGCCAGGCTGAGGGTGCACATYAACGCTCAATATAATACGATAAAGTTGAAACGTACTTGTTCCGTTTACAGTGTGTGGTACCTTTGATGCGAGATATTTCGGAGCTCGGACATTTGTGCGATTCCAATCCTCAAGTCGGTAATTTGAAAGCAGGACTTGTATTTCTTTGTTATTTCTTCCGTTTCGYAAATTCTCAACAGAGGATATGTTGGTTAAGATAAGGAAAAGTAAAAGTTTTGTAGAGCAAAGATTCTCACGTCCGCACGCCATCATGCRTGACGTAGTGATATTCATGACATTCATTAGTAAGGGACTGTAGATATAACAGTAGAACAGAGAAAACTGAGTACAGTAACCACTACTTTTTAAAATAGGCAGTGACATTGCTCTGTACAGACGAATGAAGCTTCCTTTGAAGCCATACTGACTCGAGGCTGGATATCACCCCAGACAGGCTATTGGCATGGCTCGTTTTAATAATGTACCGCGCATCGCGCTGTACGTGTTTCTCTGTTTGAAGTTGTTGTGTTGATTCTGATTCTGATTCTACAAAAACATTACTGTAGAATGTTAACCGAATGAATAAAAGAATCACAGATTTTGCAGCAATAACTTTAGTGTTTACATTAAGATCTAAACTGTAACCTACTTGTCCTGGCCGTAATACGGGGTTTAAAAAGTAATGAAGTTTGTCAATCGGGCAACAAAAAAGTGGCCGTTGGCCGTATTAACGGGTGGCCGTATTAAGCGGGCACATTTTACAGTAAATGTATGGGCATTTCGTCGGGACCCAAAAGAGCTGACCGCAATAACGGGGTGGCCGTATTAAGCRGGTGGCCRTAAGGCGGGGTTTCACTGTAACATACAAGAACATTGCTTCGGCTGTTTGTGTTGTCCAACGATCAATCTACTTATTCAGAACGGCTTATTTGGATGAAAAAACTGGCCAAATTTTCTTCAAGACTCCATGACTCTCGTTTTGAAATCTAATGAAAAAAACTTTTTCAATGCATCCGGCTCTACGTACGAGTCTTCTGAAAAAAATCTAAATATGTTGACGATTGTACATAAGCGTTTCTGTTTACTTTATCACATCAGCAAAAAAAGGTTTGATGCATGATGATAAGTAATTCATCAAAACTAAAGAARGGGGTCTGAAATCAAGGGACAGAGCCGAGTGTTAATACAGACTATTGAAAAAATGAAAAACACACGACACCAGCATCCCTAGTGTGATCGCAGCCAGACACCTGTCCCCAGCCATTGTGAGAACAGCTTYCAAGTGAGGCCTCTGAGCCTGARCATCTCATGTTGTACAGCCATATCTTACCCGTCCCTTGTCCGAAGTGCGAAGGTCCTAGAGTCTTGTTAAAACCAAGCTGCCGACACGCAACCTTGGCATCGTTTATATCAAAGTCATTATTATAACCACCTTGACACACTGTTCCCCATTGACCATTGACCTCTGAGGTCCGGGGTTCGAATCCCAGTCAYCCCATRTGARCTGAGTTGGTTGGTTCTCTTTCTGACTCCGAGGGTTTTTCCGGTCCACCGGTTTTTCCTCCCTCCTCTCAAATCAAACCTAACTAATTCAAACTGGTTAGAGCTGTGCTCCGGGGTCATACATGGACTGTATAGCGGCTGCCAGAGCCGCCTTCACATGCTTTCAGTCCGACCCCGTTGAGCTGCGCCACTGCTGTACTTTGCGGTGGTGATAAGCGACGACAAGTTTTTTTTTAGTTTTGTTTTTGATATAAATAATCCGAAGATGAAACTATGTGCAAGTTTGCGCATGCACAGTGGGTACACAGTGCTAGAAATATCCCACATGAAACATCAGCACTTCATTTCGTCATATAGATAGCGACACTTGTCTATACTGAATAATTGTTTTGTACTTGTTAGTGTCGTATAACGTTCGTAAGCAGATGACGTAAGACGATCGATAAACGTTTACTTATCGRTCTGCTAAMGCCTTACTGAGTGAATGAGTRAGTGAGTGACACATTTGCATATTYAGACCCCTCACAATGACTCGTTTCTACGMTTCGCKTATCCACGAGTTAAAAACCAAGTTSTTTACAAGCGRCCTTGCCATAATTCATGTCTCAGCTACCAGTACAAACTGTTCCCCATTGAACCTGGTAATRTACCTCAATCATATGGCTTTTCCTAGTTTAGCTTGAGTTCTTCATTTATTATTTTTAAACACGTTAGTTTGTAGAGTCTCAATAAGTAACTAGTAAAGATAGGAATCTAAACTCTACAAGAGAGGCAGCAGCATAAAATTAAATACCATTTTCTGAATTTTCTAGTGAATTCTGACTTGTCTTCWATAACGAACAGTTCTGTGAATATAACAGCACATGTGTTTTTGATGGGCAGGATATCTATATTTTAAAAATTTCAAACCATAACAATCTTGCTATTTTGGAATTGGTATTGACACATTTGTTGTAGCAGTATAATAATAAATAATAATAATAAATAAATAATTTGAAACGTGAAACATGAAAAACGACATTAAAATTGCCATTGAATATTTTTAAAGGCTTTTTATACAAAATAATAATACAATTTATTTATAACGCGCATATTAAACATAACGTTTTTAATTGCAAACGTACCCTTTATGATGTATCACATATTATGCTTTGTGCAATTTTTCCTATACTCAACCTTATGAGCTGATACTACACAATTTAACTAATATCGAAGTTATTTTTTCGTTYATTGGCCATGGTCGGGTTTATTCTGGCAACCTGCTTGGTTTATGCTGAGAATGGTATKGTGAACTCTTGGGAGAAAAAATTGGGAGTCCCAATTTTTACGATACTTTAGCGCATTTTTTTATACTTGAAAGAAAGTTTCAGAAATTTAAAGTGCACTACCAGCGGCAAAGCAGCGCTAACCATCGTTTACGCCAAACACCAAACCCTCAGATAACCTAGGCGTACCAAAAAACTATAACAAAGGCACATGATATCAGCATCATATTGGTCGTGATTAGGGCAGTGAGACTCAAAATGTTCCCATCCATAGGTAATATACTACTAATATACCTCCAAAAGAGCTATATGGATAACACTAGGCTAGTTCTTGTAGTTCATTTGAGATTTTCAAACTTCTTAGTTTGAAGAATATCACACACAGTTACAAAGAGAAGATACGCGACGCTCACTGTAACAACCAACAATTTTTTGATAGAAGAGAATTCCAAAATATGTTTTGGCGCAGAAATAAACAACCTTGTAGCTTTCAAACTATAGTAACTCGCTTTTTAGGAATTGATATTGACATATAATCGCCGCAACATACATTTGCGTGCAACTAASTACAGAATAAAAACAATTTTGCTAAACCTTTACAAATGAGTTTATTTAGCAAGTGAGAGTACAGACTATTAACGACATGAAAAGCACATAACTGCCAGCATCATTAGTGTTATCGCAGCCAGAAGGAACACTTCCCCATCCRMTGTGAGTACAGCTTCCAAGTGAGTTCTCCGAGCCTGAACATCGCACACTGTAGAGCCATATTCTACCCGTCCCATGTCCATTGTACCAAGGTCCTAGAGTTTTAGTAAARCCAAGTTGAAAACATGAAACCTTGGCCTCATTCACGTACCAGTTACCATGACAAACTGTTCCCCATTGACCGTGGTAATAAACCTTCACAAGATCAATATTCCTCAAAAGAATTTTCTAATGGTATCAATCGACTTCTAATAATAATTGTATGAATCTAAACTACAAAACAGGATAAGTTACAAATTTTGAAATCTTTTTTTAAATTCACGTGCATTCTTGGTACCTGATACCTACATCTACARACTTACCTAAGGCTAAAAACAATTTCAAAGTACTCAGGCTTCAACAAATATTGAGTAAATTTAAAATTCACAAATTATATTTTATATCTTGCTTTTTATATTGCATTGTTAAGTGYAAAGCTATCAAAGACCAAGTATATTTCATCTCTCAATGAGAAGATGGAATCAAAGGAAATGGTTAGAATCATTATCCATCGAAAGGAGCAGCCAAATTTTAAGTAATAGAAACAACGGAAGACCTTTAACAGATAGTTATGTTTCATTATYGAAAATTACACAATCGAACTTTTCATAGTTTTTCGGCTTTGGCTTTTTGTTTTGGTAGTGGTTTTCGTTTTGTTTTTATTTCATTTTTTGATGCGCGAGTTGAGATATTCAAACTCCTTAGTCTGAAGAATATCAAACACAGTTCCAAAGAGAAGATACACTCACTGTATCTACCAACAATGGTTTTGATAGAAGAGAATTCCAAAATATGTTTTGGCGCAGGAATAAACGACCATGTAGCTTTCAACTTGCTTTTTAGGAATTGCTATTGACATATAATTACATTTGCATGCAACTAACGTCAGAATAATTAAAAACATATTTGCTAAACCTTTACAAATTAGTCTATAAGTCTGTATCTCGCGGTCTTTGGCTTTATTTCGTTTTTTGATTTACGATTTACTTAAAAGTAAATATACTACTACTACAATATACAGATTAATTTAAGAGGATAAGGTGATGATTTACTAACCAGCATGCAGTTACAATCACCATCGAATGCTCAAAATGTATATGAAAATTGAAGGTAGATAAATGAAAGTTCTAGGTTATGTAAATTATTTTCCATCTACATGCACATTATTTTTTCTATTTTTCTCTTTATTSTTACATAATTTTGGCTATTACATAGTTTTGCACTAGGCAATTCACTATGACATTTGGTGAGCATTTTATACTGATACTATTTCCTATTTGGATATGATTCTCACAAAAAAGGACTCGGAGGATTCAGATTCTATATCCATTGTGAGTACAGCTCCAAGTGTCAACTCTGAATCTCTGCATTACATAATCTGTGCATTATTTTCAGCCAAATTCTACCCTTTCCAAATTGACGGCATGCTACCCTCGTATATATCTGAAATATTCCAGTAATTTGAGATGTTGTTCCCTATTGCCTCTGGTAATACACCTCCATGATACATAGCAGTGTTTTCTATCAAATACCAAAAAGCTTATCATACTGAACAATAGTATAATAACACGACACCAGCATCCTATTGGTGCGTGTTGAAGYCAGAGTCAACGTGTCCCAATCCACTTTGAGGACAGCTGCTAGTTCTTTTTTATCAAATTTGATTATTTAAAAGAAATTCAAAAATCTTGATCAATGGGAGAACCTTAAGCAAAAGAAGTCTACATTCAAGAGACACAATGCTTTTTGAAAGAAACATGACAGCTATTTCTGCTTCCTATTGTTTGGATCGATCGAAATTGTCCAAATAATGTCATCGCGCTTCACAGGTTTCTAGACAGCCAAYTTTGTAGATATTGAAGTTAGTTCTAATACCTCAAATGCAACGTCTGCTTGTATTTKGCTGTTTGCTCCAAACTTTTAAAAGATACAAAAGCAGCATCCCTAGTGCGACTTCTGAAGTAAGATGCTGCAACGCTTCCCCACCCATTGTGCGCTTCCAAATGAGGCCTCTGAGCCTGAATATCCCATGCTGATCATCCCATACTAGTCAGCAATAATTTGCCGAAGGCGAAGTGAATATCGGGGAATATTTTCCGAGACGCGAGGTAAATATTTTCCATATTCACCGAGCCTGAGGCGAATAATTGTTTTAACATATACCAACTTGTGTACAGAGTAACTTTTTTTTATATACAATAATTCAATAAAAACAAACAAACAGAAACTTTTAGTTTGTGTGACAAATTCACGCAAAACGTTTAGCAAAACATTTAGCAAAACTTTTAGGCCATACTTCGTTGTCTTTTTAGTATTGATAGTGTAATATTCTGTCCCAACTATTGTTAATATTAAGGTATGCAAAGGCAACTCTGCCCTGGAACAAATCCTGGCCAGAGAGCAATAAATGGGACAGAATGTGGATCAACCCGGCTTGCTCGTGGACGGGTGGGTGGGTCAAAAAACGTACACTTCTTCGTCGGAGATTTAATGAGAGTGATTAATTCATGGCGCCCTTTCCATTTTGTATTAGTATAAAGTCCGTGAGAATACATATTAATAATTCCTCTAGGACATAATTTACATATTCAAGTAGACTATGAATAGGAATGGCATTTACTTTCATTTTTTTCAATTTCCTCTTCGGAAATTGTAGCAAAACGATTGCCGGTAGATGCCATTTTTTTGCCGACTCAATATTCCGAGATTCAGAGGTGAATATCTTAAAATATTCACCTCCAATTAACCAACGAGCGCGCGCGTTCTTAAGAAGTACACAAATTGGTATATTCTAATACATAATATTAGTATTTAAGTCATTTCCCCAAGCACTCACAATGCGCGTATCGCTTTTTACGTGTGAGCGGTCAACGGTCGAACTTTTGTTGTCGGTGTAGCCTGCAAAAAGTATTAGTTACCTAACTTGGAAAATTAGTTGCAACATTTAAAACAAATCACGAAGCTATAAATATATTAAGAATTGCCTCAGACAATTTCTAAATTGTGTTTGACCATATAATCCGTCTTTGCAGTTCCGTGTAAGGTCCAGAAATACAAATTTATGCACTTGTCCTTTTCTTTACAGCAAGACTCAATATAATTTTTTTCTCAAAGACTGATGACTAGCTTGTCTTGCAATCGTTACCAATCATTTGGTAGTTAAACATTCAGCAACCAAAACTAATGACACCAGCATCGACATTGTGATTGCACCACGAGGCAAGATTTCTCCATCCAGCATTAGGACAGCTTCCAAGTGAGACCCTTTTTTAATTCGCTTACAACTATATTTTAGAGAGATTATGGCACAAATGTGTGACTAGAAAGAAAAGTTTTCAAAGAAACAACTGCTATTGTTTGGATTGATCAAAATTGTCACAGTCTTATAGCACATCAGAGCTTGAATCCGCAAGTCAAATTTGCGGTATTTGAAGTTAGTTTCTTAAAGGTTAAATTAAAATATCTGCTAGCTTGCTCACACCTTTCAAAAGATACAACACCAGAATCAGTACTGTGATCGCAGTAAGATGCAACACTACCCCATCCACCGTGAGAACAGCTTCCAAGTGAGGACTCTGAGCCTGAACATCCCATGTTGTCTAGCCATACTTTACCTGCCCCATGTCCCCAATCCCAAGCTCCTACAGTTTTGGTAAAACCAAGTTGACGGCATGCTACCTTGGCATCGGGCATATCCCAGCAACCACGACATACTGTTCCCCATTGACCCTCGTGATACACCTCCACTACACACTTAGCAGTATCTACTAGCAATCATCGATAGCATTAACATACTGAAAAAATAATTTAAACAAAGTACACGACACCAGCATCATATTGGTGAGTAGGGCAGTTATAGTCAACGTTTCCCCAACCACTGTGAGTACAGCTTCCAAGTGTGGCTTCTGAGCCGGAACACCCCATGTACTGCAGCCATACTATCTATCTTGACATACTGTTCTCAACTGATCATTGCACAAAGCTAGCGTTGTGATGGTATTGCAATTCTTTACATCTTTATCTGTATTAATACCTTACGATTAATCATTCTATGCTCTCGTTTCAAATCACGACGAAATATCCTAACATTTTTATAGAAATCCTTTTAAAATGCCACTTTATTTTATGTTCACTATTTGCTTACAAAAGCTTTGCTTACAAATGATATTTATGTAATAACCAGAACACCCTAAACCAACATCTATTGTGTCATCGCAGCCCGGCACGCTTCCCCATCCATTGTGAGTACAGCTCTGAAATGAGGCCTCTGTGCCTGAGCAACCCATCTACTCCAACCAATCCAACCATACTTTACCCGTTCCTCGTCCATATTGCCAAGGTCCTAGAGCTTTTGTAAAACCAAGTTGTCGACATGCAACCTTGGTATCGTCCATATCCCAGCCACCATAAYATACTGTTCCATTTAAKTTAAGTAATGATGTACCGTYGACATGYAACTAATAGTAATAGTACTCAAAGTTTGTAAAGTAAAGCTCTCGCAAGCACCCGCTTCCACTTTTGGGAATTACAAGCGAGTTTTCCCTTTGTTATGAAGCTCTTATTACGAGCGACCAACTAATGGATATGACTTGTGTTAGTCAACACTTTATTAAAACTGCTCAAGGGCACTAGGACACCGAATGTGGTTGGATTTCTATAGGTTTTTTCCCCTTTCGATTATTTGAATTAAATTAACGTTATATACTTGTTTACTT